GAATCTTCTTGTCAAAGACCACCTGTTCAGACATCGATTCGTGTGTGTGGCAATATCTGACGTAGATGTTTGTCATATGGCAATTCTGTCTTAGTATGAATAATGCATTTTCTAGGCAGCCTGTTATCACTAATATCATTTTCAAAGTGGTATTTCTATTTCCGTTTCTACTGCTATCTGAGGTTTCATAAATTGCATATACGTGCAAAACTAATTTTCATCAATTATTTCAAATGTATTAATTTTCTCGCTTTGTTTTAATTTCGATAATTATGTCTGCATTATAAATTAGTGTAGCTTTAAATGGTACACTAGTTCCCAGCAAGCTGACATGACTGGTCGTCATCGTTCATAGTGTCATTGCCATGTTCATTTTAACAATGACGCACAATTGGAAGATAAAAATAGATTATTTCACTCTAATTGAGAGGTTTGGAACTAATGAGTATGTATTATTATTATTATTTGTATAAATTAAAATAAGAAGAACATAAACCTAGTTTATTTTAGTGCGACAGATCGGAATTTCTCGCGTATTCTAAGTTGCAATACACTAGCCAATAACATGTCAATGACTCATCATATTCTCAACGTTGAACCAATCATAGACACTCCAGTTAACATTATTGATATGATATATATATATAATATTTGGTAATCGCTGTTGTGCTTTCTCCAAATATAAACTAAATCGTAACATATTACTTACACCGTATTAGTATTATATATCATTAACACTCGACACCGTTTGACGCCCTCACAGTTTCAAATATATTTTCACTGAACGGCGAACGCCCTCAGTCAATGATTCGCACGATGCATTCTGCTTTCGGTTAAAGGGCGGCGGTCGTCGCGCCGCATCCTGTTCGACATGGCACTTATAGCGACGTATACAACACGTGTAAACTACACTGAAATTCGAACACGCGCTGCGCGACGACCACCTCCCTTTAACCTAGAGTAGAATGAAAAAAGTGCGGCATCAGGGGTAAATATTATGGTCACAGACACGTTACTCGATTCATACATTAAGTAGGAAAGAATAGACAATAAGGACGGAAGATGGCAGAACAACTTTTCGTTATTGTTTTTTCACTTAATTTTGAGGATGATATTGTGGGGAAAACGTTCGCGTCATCAATTATGTGGATTTTAAAACCCTTTTAAGTCAATTTTTCGGTAGAATTGTTTTTCTGTGAGTTTTTCTTCTCACATTTACCACCTCGTGTTCAATAATGGTAAACCCCTCAAATTGCAGGGCTAAACCATAGAATGTATAGAAGATACTGTGACAATCTTTTATGGAAGCAAAAAAAAAGGAAAATAATAATAGACATCCCCTTATAAGAGACATATTTGAAATACTTTTGGTGCACTTGTGGGTGTAAAATTAGGAGCTCTTTTCACTTGATCGTTGCACACGAAATAACCGCATCGCGTCCTCCCCTGCCTGACGTAGCAGTATGTTCATAAGCCAAATCCATTATACTTGCGTTAATTTTAATATTATGTGACACTATTTCAGCGATATTTTACAACTTTTTTTCTGGATTATATCTGCCGTTGCTGTTTCATTTTTCTAGTTTGCGCCATCATCTTTTGTTTGGGTCGTATCGCCGGTAGAGGGCATGCGTAACCCATGAGTCCGTTTCACTGCACAAAAGAGTTTACTTCAACAGCGAAGATCATTGCCATGTACTGACATGTACTGACTACATCAGGTGGCATAGGGAAGTTGCCAACAGACGAAGCCGGGACTTTTGCCAGGTCAACTTTTTTGGCAAATTTAAGGGTTCTGATTCCGAAATTGCGTTTAAACTTCAGTTTAAAGCCACATTTTCGCCAAATTATCGTAAAAATGCAACCAGTACGATAGGCGGATTTCTTCGGGGGAAATTTTAAAACTAATTTCTTGGTTTGTTGTTTCAAAAATGCATGTTAGGAGAGGGGACTTCGTTTGTAAATCTGTCAAATCATTGTAAAACACAACAATGGCATATAAGTGATAAATATTGTTTGTAATATTATACTTAAGTCAATTTAGATATGTTGGGAGTGAAATTTCGATTCGATTTTTACGACATAATTAGATTTCACTTTGCTTAGTTTGAGATGCATATTATCAAAGCAATGTGGCTAGCCCGTTTCAAGAAGAATTCGGAAAGAAAATTTTGCACCAAACTAACAAAAAAAAGTCACTGAAATTTAAATATTGTTATTATTGTCACAACAAAGCAATCGGGTTGGTAGTTCAGGGAAAGAAGTCTGAAAAAGCATATTTTTTTTATTAAAGACACGAAGTTCTCGTCACGCAATGGAGAATTCCGAGAAAGAAGCACCAGAGGTGATTTCCTGGTAAGTATTAGAGCCATGTGACTAACGTTTTTTTTTATATAAAAAAATAAAAGTTTAAGGCGACGACTAAAAAGCAATCAGTGATATGAACAGCTGTGCCGTACTGTCGACATCGGAGCTAAATA